TTTATTAATATGTTTAATGTAATTCTTTGGTGTTAGAAATTTCAGAATTCTAGAAATCTATTCTTCAGGGATGGAAATTCAAATGTTTGTCAAATGAGCTTGCTAAAGATCATTTTCGGGCTGCCAGTCAGCATCAGTGTGTTGAAATTCCTGGACTGCTGGTGGAAAAGAAACTAACGAAGTATCCAGTACCGCTGGAGATATAGAACAGTAACAAAATGACAATGGACTTTCAAAGTAACGTCAATTTCAAAGCGGTGCACAGCAAACAGAAGAAAAGGATAGAACTGCAGATTAATCATCCGCTTTGGTTCTGGTAAGATCATATTTTATACACGTACCAAATTAACTTATTTCAACCTCTGTACAAAGATAACATTGGTAGATTAGCTGGTTAAATATATTTTCAAATAATTTTCATATTTTTGTCACGTTAAGTTTAGGTTGAAAATATTGATAAGTCTAATATAAATGGTTTCAAAAATTTTATGGATGGATTGTTAAAATCCATAAATTAATATTTTTTCAGTTTATTCCTCCACATCCAACCCACGGATGCCTAGAAGAGAGATACCATTGTGATGTTTGAAAAGGAGAATGAATAGGACTTCAACAGAGGAGTGAAAGCATTGGAAAGATTGCCAGAACCAACATCTAAGGAGAAGAGGAGAGACTGGCAGATGCCTTCAAAGCAGGAAATCAATAAGGTCATCTTTGGAAGAACAGACGACTGAGCTGTAAGACACAGACCATATACAGCCATCAGGAATGCAATCCTAAACTGCTTTCTTCTCACTAAGAGATAGAGATGGCAGTGTTCCCAGTTTTAAAGACACTGAGTACTTGCACATTACCATACAGTCTGTTTTACATCAGCTGTACAGTAGCCCTTTCTATTACAAGTGTTACAATGAGCCAAACATGTTTGCTCAATAATTAATTTGTTGAACTGAGTTAGCAAGGCAGTTATTTCTAGGTCAAAAGAAGATTCTAAGTTGGAATCTGACGGCAGAACAGTAGGGCGGCACGGTGGCTCAGTGTTTAGTGCTGCTGCCTCACAGTCCCAGGAACCTGGGTTCAATTCCAACCTCGGATCACTGTTTGTGTGGAGTTTGCACATTCTCCCTGTGTCTGCTTGGGTTTCCATCGGATGCTGTGGTTTCCTCCCACAGTCCAAAGATGTGCAGGTTAGGTGGATTGGCCATGCTAAATTGGTCATAGTGTCCAGGGATGTGTAGGTTAGGTGTGTTAGCCATGGGAAATACAGGATAACTGGGGTAGTGTAGGGGGATGGGTCTGAGTGACATGCTGTTTGGAGAGTTGGTGTGGACTTGTTGGGCTAAATAGCCTGTTTCCACACTGTAGGGATTCTATGATAACACTCCAGGAAAGTGCAAAGGATGTACTATACTATCAGTAGTGTTTCAGGTGGAAGATTAAGTTGATATCATTCGCCTCTTCAAGGATATTTAAAGATTCCATCTCATTCTCAAAACAAACATTAACTACCTCTTTGTTGTTTGTGGAATGTGATTAATGCAGATATATGTGTTGTGTTTACCAACATAACAGTCACTGCATTCTAGAGAAAACTAATTGCATGAAGCATTTCGATATAATAAAGAACATTGTAAATTTGTTTCTCAGTATATATTGTAATGTTTCTTGTGTGCCATGTTTCTGCAACATTAATGAATGTTTATAAGAAAACTTTTATTATACATGGACTAACGTCATCACCTGAATAAGCAACCAACGGCCAATTGGGAGGTCCAAAGCATTTTCATTTCTGGCCTCAATTGATTGACAGAGATGGCAAATAGATGCTCTGCTGCAGCTTGCTGGTTCTGGGAGAAAAAGAGATTGCTTCTTTCCCATGCTGAATCAACTCGCAGATAAGGACATGTTGAGGGAGCAGAGAAAGCCTGGAAAGTGATCCTCAAGCACGCGTGGGTTCAGGAGGAACATTTAAGATTAAATTGAAAGAATCCTGCACCCATTTTTAAATTCCTCACAGTAGTTCCTTTAAGGATTTCTGATTTGGTCATTCAATACTTTGTAGAAGTGGAGAGAGTTAATTTTTCATACTTGTCCCTAAAAGCAAAATAATTATCGGTGATCCTTAATATTGGTATTGGACTGATTTTGATCCGAGAGCAGACCCCTAAATTTTATCATGGTTCAATTAAGAATCAGTAAGCTTTTACTCAAAGTCAAAGTAGTTTGGAAATCCGAGCTCCATGCTGATCAGATAATGTGACAAGATTCTGTGAGTTTAAATAACCAGATATAAAATTTACGACACCAATTCAAAAAAGTAAAGACAAATATGGGTCACTTACAGTTAGAAGCCAGGGAACTTAGAATGGGGAGCAAAGAAATGGCAGAAGAATTGAACACACACTTTGGTTCTGTCTTCAATAAAGAGGGCACAAATAACCTCCCAGAAATGTAAGGGAACGTAGCGTCTGCTGACCTATAGTTCTAGATTCTCCCAGAAGAAGAAACATTTATTTACATACACCCTATTAAGACCCCTCAGGATCATAAATATTTTGATCAATCACCTTTTCCACTTCTAAACTTCAGTGATGCAAGTCCTGTCTGCCCAACCTTTCCTCAAAAGCCAACCCACCCACTCCAAGGGTTAACTGTCATGTAAGCTTTCTCCTTATTGCTTCAATGCATTTAGATCCTTCTTTAAATAAGGAGATCAGTATTACGCACAGAACTCCAGATTAGCATTCTTGCTAATTTCTTAGGTCCATGCATGGCAGTGACTTCCAGAAGTTGAAGTCAGTTCTGCAAATTGCACTGGACCCTTGTAGCGACTGCAGCTCTGTGCTCTGGAAGTGCACCAATGCCCTATGTAACTGAAGCATGACCTCCCTCCTTTTATATTCACTTCTCTTGCAATAATGTTCTGTTAGCTTTCGTAATTGCTTACTGTACCTGTACACTTTTTTTGTGATTCTTGAACCAAGCAAACACAGATCCATCCTCATCTCAGAGCTCTACAGTCTCTCACCATTTAAATAATATACTTTTTTATTCGTCCTTCCATATGGGACAATTCTACATCTTCCCACGTTATATTTCACTTGCCACAGTTTCACATTTTGGTAGATATTTGCCCATGCATTTAACCAATTTGTCCCTTCTCCCATTTTCATCTCCTAATCCAGCTCAGAAATAAGACAATGTTAACCACCACAACAGTGTGCCAGATACCATATTAATTAGGAGCAAAAACGCGTGCACATATTCACACAGGAGCTACAAAGACCTTCACCATGAAACTATTACACTTTTTATGATACTATTTTTTACGTTCAGTTTCTAACACAATTTCATGCAAATTAATTGTCAAGATGTTTATGTCACTGGAAAGACTAGCCTTTAATGCCCATCCAGAATTGCTCTCAACAAATGTTAGTGGATGGTGTGGTTAAGTGAAATTTTAAGCAAAACAATTTGATACGACTGGGTATTTGCAATTTCAGTACAGGGGGCTGTTCAGAATCAATCACATTGGTGTGAAGCTGAAGCCACATACAGACCAGACCTGGCAAAATTGGCAGATTTGTTTCTGTGAAGAATATCAATGAAGATTATTTTTTAAACAGATAGATTGTTAATATTTACTGTTTTTAAAAGCTGTATTAATGTTCTTGATTACCATGGTGGGTGTTGATTTTGTGTTTCATTAACTAATCCATGAACATAACCACTACTGCTCTACTCCTGTGGGATTTTCCAGTTACGTGGACACACAAGGTGCTTTTTCTCTGATGCTGGTTTTAAGAAAAAAACAGTTTAACAAAGGAAAAGTATTTATTCTGTTACTATCATTTTTAGTCCAACATTATTTAAATATTGAATTCCTTAATTGTATTAGCATTTATATGATGGAAAATTTGTTGAAATATTGTAATTAAAACAAATTTATAGTAGATGTATAGATAGTAGGAACTGCAGATGCTGGAGAATCTGAGGTAACAAGGTATAGAGCTGGATGTGAAATGAAGAAGGGTCTAGGCCCGAAACGTCAGCTTTCCTGCTCCTCTGATGATGCTTGGCCTGCTGTGTTCATCCAGCTCCACACCTTGTTATCTCTTATAGTAGATGCATATTTAGATAATAAAAAATACATATAAAACGGCAGGAGTTATTGAGTATTTATTCATATCCGATGTTTCATGTTTTCCACGCAAAAGCAGCATATTACTTTTCTCATTTATTCACATAGTTTCTGTTTAGCTCCTTATAATTGTCATAGTTCGTATTCAAGTTCACCAGTTCTGTTAGGGGACTGTTTAATATTAACAGGGTGAGAACAGTTTACTACGAGTAACATTTTATTGTCAGCGATGTGCATGCAGTTATTATTCCAGATATTATTTTTGAAAGTGAACAGTGTGTTTGCTTACTATTTACTTTTAATTGTTAGCAAGAACTGATTTGTTTCCGAATAAGATGTATTGCCTTATTTTCAAATGTATAGGACGTAGAAGGAATGTTAGACAAGTTGCATAAAATTGTATTATCTTATGAATTGAATGAACAAAACACAATTTGTGGGACCAAATATTAGAATTGACACCACTGATGGAAATATGTCCACATATTCCTGACATAACAGGCTAATAATTAAAGTTCCCTGTTCCTGCTGCACACTTTGAAAATCATGCTGTTAACTTCATAAGTAAATGAGAGTTTTGTAAATTAGATATTTATATTTCCACTTTATTCTAACAATTGTTTTCAGAATGACCATATAGATATGCACAAACTTCTTTTCAGTGGGTGTGTTTTTGAGTAAGTAGTCTGGCACTAGTACATAAATATAAACAGTTTAATTCTTACTATCTGAAAATAAAATACATTTCTGTTTGTTTCTCAAACATGTGTTTTACGCGAATGTAGGTATAAAATAATGCATAGAGAACTGTAACCATATTCTTATGTTTTTCCAATATTAACAATTATTTTCTTTTTAGGATGTGGCACTCATTGTTGCAGCTATATTGATTTTACTTGTGGCGATTTATGGTTTCTTTTACCTGAAACTCACCACAGAAGTAGACCTTGACCTGGAACCGCATGAAAATTCAGAAATGTAAAGAGATGTTCTCCTTTTGGGAAGCATTGATAACCACTCAAATGGAATTTGCTGAAGTATTTTGGACCATAAGGAGACTGATGTGACTTTTTACCGTGCATTTGCTAAGAATTCCAAAACATGAACAATTTTACATCAATTTCACATCCCTTTGTTCATGAGATCATAGAGTCTGTGCAGCTCACAAGTCTGCATCTTAAAGTAAGACATATTTAATTGGTAATTCTTCTTTGAAAATTCGGTTTAATAATACAGTTGAGTATTTGAGCCATGTGGGCCAGAAATGTTCCACATTGAATCTGTAATGCATGCTAACTTACATTATACAACTGTTTCTTTGCTGCAATTGGTCACACCCCTTTCATTTAGGACAGACCATATTACCTCTTCTTGCTGGTTAAAGATCGTATGTGAGTACTGGCTAAGGATGTGGTTCATCTTGGTTATAAGAATATCTTGAATAAGTTGCCAAGGGCCCCTGTCCTGGCTCGCAAGTGACTCTGGATTTAATGGGGTGGCAGGGTCCCAGCCTGTACACCATAAAATCAAGGATGGACTCTGGCGGCTTGCCCCATTGTTTTTTAACATTCAGAGGGGTGTTAATTGCCTTGAGGCAAGATTACCTTCCCTATGTGTGTTGAGAATTCCTCCTTTGAGAGCTCCCAAACAATCAAAAGTTGGCAAAACTATGATGTGACAAGGACAGGCAGATAGGCCATGGGATTCACAGCACTCACAGTATCTTGTAGAACCCTCTGAATTTCAAATGTACAGAGCTCAAAAAAACAGCACTTGAAGAATAAGCACTTGAACAATGTATTAAAAATTAACGAATAACTTTAGAGTTTTAGAACATCATTGCTTGTGGAACAGGAGAGATGCAAATTTGTAGAAAAAGAGGAAAATTATATTTGTAAATTGATTGAATCAAATATACCATGGATCCAATTTGTAAATATGATATTTTGTTAAAAATGAAACCGCACCACCTACCAGACAACTGTACAAGAATCAATAAAAATACAATTACAGTGTCAGCATGAGGATGGACAAGTGAGAGCAAATACAGTTCAACAGTACAGGAATCAATTAATAATGGTGCTATCAACTCAGTACGTAATTTAGGTTTAAAATGGGGAAGCAAGCAATGATTCTGGGAATTCTTTTAAATTAATAGACCGGAATGTTTAGTGGTATACTGCCAAAATAATCACATATGAAACCCTCTTCTCAACACTAAGATTAATTGTAATTGTACATAGACATAGATACATGTTGAAAGAGCAGCATTACAACAAATCAATAAATTGTAGCATAGATGAAGCATTGTATTGTTTACATGGAAAATATTTTTCTATATTTTTATTCTCTTTAAACAAATGTGTTTTTAACTTTTTTCCTAAACTTAATATCTTGACAATTGATAAAAATAATATGGTAATAAGTTAGCAAATGTATTTCTTTGTATGTTTTGCAACATTACTGTCACGTACTTTAAGTAAATTATATGAAAGTCTTTCTTGCATTTGTTGCTAATGTATGTGCATGTGGTCTATTAAGGTGATTAAAAAGTATTATAAAGCTAAATACGTTTTGCCCAATGCACGTTTGTGTGTAATAAATATTGTGCATCACTCAATTATCCTTCATATACAAAGCAGCAACAATCTATGGCAACCTACATAAGGCAGATTGAAAATTATCTTTCAGTTACTAATTTCTTATTTTACTCTTGTTTAGTTATTTCTAACTCTGTAATGGTATTTTATATCTGATTTTATGTTCCAAAATAGATATAACTGGTTGATTACTTGTATTGCCCAAGAGACTTAGCAAAAATAAAAATTCATGGAATTGGAACAAACCTTTAGACATGGGGAGAAATTGTTTAGGAAATAGGAAATGGAGATTGCAGACAATGAATATGTACTCCAATTGGCTGACTGTGACCAGTGGCATTCCCGAGGGATGTAGTGGTTCCTCAGCTTTTCAGTGTTTTTATCAATGACTTAGATGAAAGAATAGAGAACTGTAGATTTAAGCTCGCTAATGACTCTGTGTTGGTGGTGCAGTAACTGGCGAAGCATTAAGCTGCACAAGGACTTTGATAGGTTGAGTAAATAGACAAAACTGAGGTAGATGGACTTTAATGTGGGATCACCTCTGGATAGAAGTAAGATGGACCAAGACAGTTTCTGATTCTTAAGGATCCAGGAACTGTGGAGACACAGAGAGATTTAAGGGACCATATACATAAATTATATTAAAACTAGGGGCCAGCTTGAAAACAAAGGCTAATGGAATGTTAGCCTTTTTCACAATACAAAGTAATGAAAGTTTAGCCACAGTTGTATCAAATTCTGTTGAGACTTCATCTGGGGAGTACAGAGCATCCCATCTCAGGTAAGATGTACAGGATTGATTACAAAGGGGCGCAGCATGGATTATTCAGAATAATAGTGGGACTAAAAACATTAACTTTTGAGAACAGATGCATCGACAAGACTTGTGTTCCCTTGAGTGTAGAAAATTATGCAGGTGATCAATCATTCAAAAGTCTGGAAGAATAACTTCACACAAAACAATTAGTAGAAGTCTGGAATCTTTCGCAAAAAGTGGACAATTACCAGGTTGCTTCTGCTTGGCCATCGAATTAAAGAGAGAAGGCCTACAGTAGCAGATGGCCAGCAGTCCCATCAGGAAAGCTGGGTGCTTCTGAGCAACAGGACAATTCAAAACAGAGCTGCTGTTTGAGCAAATCGCTAAGGATCAGTTTTCAAAAAAAAAAGGCCCAGTGCTGTAAAAGCCATCAGTATGGAAGCACAGCACCTACAGGAAGGATTGTGCCATTGATTTGGCCATTTTAGCCTTGGGCTAGAAGCGTCTTCTCCTCCTGAAAATTAGTGGAATAGATGGTGGGAGGAGAAGATAAGTGGAGGGTTTGGCATTTGGGAGGTAAGAGCCGCTTTCCTGTCACCACAGAAATTAAGTTTGGGCAGGAAAACACAAGCTCAGCGTTCCCATCTCACTGCCAATTGAGACCTTTAAGTAGTCAATTAACAATCTCTATTGGGATTATTCCTGCCTGGGTTGCAATTGCTTTAGCTTCAGGCAGGCGAGAATGGTAAACTAATGCTGGCAGGGTGTTTGGGAGAGGTACCCCAATCTGCATTAATTAGTGCAAGATCGAGTGACTGGACTCGATGGAGATTAGACTCCCCTAAAGAAAAACAAACACCAATCTTGCTGAGGTAGTAGGAACTGCAGATGCTGGAGAATCCGAGACAACAAGGTGCAGGCTGGATGAACACAGCAGGCCAAGCAGCATCATAGGAACAGAAAGGCTGACGTTTCGGGCCTAGAGGGTCAAGGCCCGAAACGTCAGCCTCTCTGCTCCTATGAAGTTGCTTGGCCTGCTGTGTTCATCCAGCCCTGCACCTTGTTGTCACCAATCTTGCTGGGAGGGATATTCCACCAGGGAGTCTGTGTCCCGGCAGCAGTCATGGCCTCTACTGTTTTGCCAATTTCCGGACTGGTCATCCTCTGATTGAGGTTCTAAAGCCCACTGGCAGCCAATCATCTGCTTGATTGCTGGAAGATCCAGTGAGCTTACCTCAATATGTTTCTCTCCTGGAAGTCCTTCCAGTGTGTATTTCATCCCACCCTGTTGAGAAGATGTTCCAGTGGCCTTCTGACCTGATTGAGGCTTTAATTGAATCATTTCATCAACCAACTCTTGAGTTGAGTCTGCCAATTCCCTTGGAAGCCCATCTCTCAGAAACATATCTGGAGCCACTCAGAGAGCACCAGGGACCCATGCCACCTGAAAAAGTTTTCCGAGATTTTTTCAGCTGCTTTCCTATACCTGCATCTTCAAAACCACCTCTTACAGTTCAGGAGAATTCCACTGAATGAGCACCAATTGGCTTCAAATTTTTCTTGACTGTAACCAAGGATATCTTTAATTAACACTCAGAAATGGCTACATCTGAACTTTGTCCATGTTATTTCACTTGGAGCAGCAATTGACGATGTTGTAGCAGACAGAGACTACATTGGCTTTGGGTGTTGTAACTACATTAGCTGACGTAAATTACAAATTTTGACACTTCACATCGTTGTAACAGGAACTTCGGCAACCAGAATCAAGACTACCCGTTAATTGGAAAGGCAGTTATCAGTCAGCGATACAGTGTAATATGGCCCTGTTCTCTAGGAGCAAACTGGGTGGTAAGGCAACCAAAATTGGCTACATTGAGCCATAGCTGACTGCCCCAGTGGTAATTGTGCTGTGTAATATGCTGCTGAACCTTACAAGCAAGAAATACAAGTTTCAATCTCAAATTTATATGATATTTTTGTTTCCACCTACCAAGAGAGACTCAGCAGTTTGCTGCAATGCACTTCAGCTGGTAAGGAAAAATTGACCAAGATATCTGCTCGTGATCACCATCTATTTACCCTCCTGATGCAGGAGCACATTAGTCATCCTTATATTTTGACTTCAAAAGAACAAGAGGCTTTCAATTCATATTGGATTTGAGATTCTTGAAAATGAGTGACTACATATTGTTCAGCCTATTTTCCAAGATCGTGAATGTTATGAATTAGCTGACAGTTGCACATTAGGTTTTGAATGTATTCTTTTGATCTGATGGAAGTGATGAATGTTTAGGCATGCCAAAGGTACATGCTGTAACAACACTTTACCATAGTTGTGGACAGATCTTTACCAAGCTCGGTGGTACATTTCTACTAACTCAAATTTCATCATGCGTGATTCTCCACCTTTACAGCAACTTATATCTGAACAAAACAAACAGGAGCAGGAGTAGGCTAATGAGTCCCTTGAGCTTGTTGTGCCAATAAATAAGATCCTGGCAGATTTGATGTCTTCTTGCCTCTAATTTCCTGCCTGACCCCATAACCTTTGATTCCTTTGTAGATCAAAAATCTGCTACAACTCAGCCTTGAATGTATTCAAGAACACAGCCTCCACTGCTCATTGGGATAGGGAATTCTAAAGATAATGACCCTTAAGGGAAGAAATTCCTCCACATCTCCATTTTAAATGAAGGACTCCTTTTCTTCAAACTGTACCCCCTAATCCTGATGCCCCCACCAGGGGAAGCATCCTCTCAGCTTTCACCCTGTTAAGCCACCTTAGAATCTTACATGTTTCAGTAAGATCATCTCTCATTCTTCTAAACTCCCATGAGTATTGGCCAAACTGCTTAATCTTACCCCATAGACAGCCTGTTCATTCCATGAATCAATCTCATGAACTTTCTTTGAAACTTGCCTCTAATACAGGTATGTTCATCCTTAAGTAAGATAACTGTAGAGTTCTCCAGGTGTTGTCTCATCAATTTCATTTACAATAGTAGCGAGACAACCCTTGTATTTCACTCTATCCCCTGTTCAGTAAAAACCAACATCCATTTGCCCTCCTAATTTGGCTGCATACTACTTTTTGTGAATCAAGTATAAGAACACCACGTGCCCCTGTACCACAGTGTTCTGCAGTCCCCATTTAAATAATACTTTGCTTTTCTAATCATTCCAAAATGGCCAAACTCACATTTTCTGACTTTATATTCCATCTGCTATTTTAGCTACTCAATTTGGCTATCTATATCACTTTGCAGATTCTCTATCCTCCCATAACTTGCTTCCTACCTATTATCATGTCATAAGCAAATTTGGCTACCATACAGTTCGTACTTTTATACAAATCAGTAATATAGATTGTAAGTAGTTGAGGCATCAAAGCTGATCCCTGTGGAATTTTGCCATCCTGAAAATGACCATTTATAAATGACCATTTATCTAGGCTTTGTTTCCTGTTATTTAGCCAATCCTCTATCAATTCTAATATATCGCCCCAAACGCTACACTACTTGTGTAGTAACATTTTATGTGGCACCTTTCCAAATGCAACTGGATCCTCGACTTCCTGACCCACACACTGCAATCAGTAAGGGTAGACAACAACACCTCCTCCACGATAATCCTCCTTAAGGCTAAATACTGAGCCCCTTAATATACTCCTTATACACTCACGACTGTGTGGCTAAATTCAGCTGTAACTCCATTTACAACTTTGCTGATGACACTACTGTAGTGGGTCGGTGCTCAACCAACAATGAGATAGGATACAGGAAAGGGATAGAGAGTTTAGTGGCAAGTTATAAAGACAACAATCTCTCCCTCAATGTCAGCAAAATGAAGGAGCTGGTCATTGACTTCAGTAAATGGAGTGGAGAACACACCTCTGTCTGCATCAATGGTGCCGAGGTGGAGATGATTGAGAGCTTCAAGTTCCCAGGAGTAAATATCACCAACAATCTATCCTGGTCCATCCAGAATAACACTAGAGTCAAGAAAGCATACCAATGCCACAAATTCCTCAGAAGACTAAGGAAAGTGGGCATGTCCACAATGACTCTTAGCAATTTTTATAGATGCACCACAGAAAACATCCAATAAAGATGCATCTCAGCTTGGTATGGCAACTGCTCTGCTCAAGACTGCAATAAATTACAGAGAGTTGTGAATGCAGTCCAGTCAATCACCAGCCTTCCTTC